TTTTCTTATCCAAAATTTTCCTAACATTATTACTAAGTTTAATTCTTAGGGATGTTTTTTTTGGACAGGTTTAAATTAGATGAACAATCTATTTATCCGTTGAACGTTTCGTCCCTATATTTGGGACTTCCTCAGCAACTCGATAGTTATGTTCACGAGTCAATCTAACATCATTTCTCATTACAGTCATAAGTATTCACTATCTTATATATAGAATCAATTTTAAACCGTTATCCTACCATAACTTTTCGAACACAGTGTTAGTAATAATTAGTAATAATAATTATAATTGTAATAACGTGCATATAGATCTCTTGTAATTCTTAGAGATAAATAATTGAAGTGGAAATTTTGTATTTTGTATTTACAGCAATCATCGTGAAACAAATTCGTCGGAAAGTTTTATAGTATGGGAAGTGTTGAAGGAAGTACGATCAGAAGGATCAACGTTACGATCTTAAAACATTGCGTGGGAAGGATTCACAGGAAGGATAAACGAGACGAGAAGTTGTTCCTGAGTCAACGAAGTGAAGTTCATAGTTGACGTGTTAAGGTAAATTTCTTAAGTGTAATATTACGCGTACATACACTTGTGCATGTGTATACAAGTTAGAGATACATAGATAAATATTTATTTATTATATGATACGCGACAATCCTAATAGCGCAAAAATGAAATTTATTAGCAATCGCATATACAATATTTGATAACGTTAGAACAACAAAAGACCACTTAATTTAACATCTCCGGATAGTTTGAATTTATTTCTTAGAGAAAGTATATCAGTCGTGTGTTTGTGTGCGTAAGGTTAATGCGAGGTGTATTAATTTGCTTTCTTTACTTTCGTGGCCATCAATCATAGTTTTCGAGCTTCCGAGCTTTCCCAGCTTTGATATTATTCGGTATATTTATAGTTTACAGGGTGGTATATATACGGTGGGATAAGAATTTCTAAATAGCCCAATATATAATTTTTCTGATTAATTATTTTGTGAATCTATTACAATTTTTTTTTCAGAGATTTTAATGTTCTTTTCTTTTTAATCTAATTAACCGCCTAGTTTTTTCTTTATGTGAAAACGAAAAAAAAATTAAAACATATTTTAGATTAATATATTAAAAATAGATAATAAAATATTATGCACCAAAAATGTGTTTTAAAAAATAATTATCTCAAATGATTAATTATTAGAGGATTAAAGTGATTTTAGATATGATGTTAAAATTTTTTGACACACCGTGTATGTAATAAAAACTTTGGATAAAATGTAAAAGCGTAAAGCTTCTGCTTTCTTTTTTTCTATTTTTTTTTTTTTTTTTACAAAAAAAAAACAACATACCTCGCCCGTTAATGGCTATAAATTATTTAACTATGCAAAACGTTTATATATAAAAGTTAACAAACTATGGCGTAGCAGGGAACCATTTTGTACGTTATTCTTTGTCTTTCTGTCTCGTCTAAAGGGAAGAGACAGAGAAAAAAAAAAAAAGAAATAAAAGAAATAAAGGAAATAAAAGAATCAAAAATTTCATTACGGATCTTCTTTTAGCGTGTGAACGCTCTTGGAGAATTTTCCAATATCGTCTGGCTATATCGAGAAATACGCAATATTCGCGATCAATGCATTCCGCTATTAGAATCTATGGCTTTTTCGAACATGACCAATCTCGTCTATTAATTTGAACATTTACGTTTACACCGAGTCGAGTCACATGACTGACATCCGTTCCCACAATAGAAATTGGATGCTATTGATATTTGCTTGTAATACAAAGTTTCAAAACTTTTTCTATCATACAAAGAAATTCATTCAGGATTGTTCCGTTCTAAACAAATGCGTACCGGTACATTTTTTTTTACGATATTTTTCTTCCACTGTGTTATACTACACACAAAAAAAAGCATTGAGTAAGGGTAACCATGTGGTAGAATGGAAACCAAAATTTTCTTCGTCAGAATTAGTTTTCGAAATTTCATTCCGATAATTTCGATTTAAACGATACAGCACATTTAGTTTATCCAATTGAAGAAGATTAGAACCAAATAAACGGTACTGTTGGATACTAGTTGTCGAATAATTACGCGAAAAATAACCGAAAAGTTGAATTTATCAAATTCGATAATTTGCGATCATTGAATACAATTTAGATTATAAATTTGAGAAAATTATTATTTATTATTTACCAATGATAACAAATGCAATTATTTTTCGAACAATAATAAAATATCGAATAATAAAATAATGTATAAAATTTGTTTCATTATAGTTATATATATAACATACGTGTACATTTATATAAATATTTCACATAATTAAAATAGATCATTAGTAAAAAGTTAGTTGAGTTAAAAGTTGGAAACAAATTTACCGATAATAATTCCAGATGAAAATGTTCATATATATATATATATATATATATATACTTCTACACATACGCACATAGATATATTATATATTTTTCCTCTCTTCCATACTTTGATAATTATTATAATTTTGCTACAAACAGGCGCAGGTTGTTGGCGGTTTTAATTAATAGTTACTTTTGAGACGTGAATGTATTTTTTTCTTTCTCTTTCTTTCTCTCTTTGTCTCGCGTATTTTGTTGTCCTTACGCGTGAATTTAATAAACCAAAACCGCGGCGTGAATTTCAGCACACTGTTGGAGACTAAAAGAGAATAAAAGAGCAAGGGGGGTACAGTGAGGAAAGAAAGAGAGAGAGAGAGAGAAAGGTAGGAAAAATATATACAGAAAGAGAGAAAGAAAAAAGTTGACTACTAGCGTGCTTACTCGCATCGCTAGTTTTCATTACGATACGAGAACTCGTTGTCGCATTTATGTCAACAGGGTATTACGAATCGAGCAATTTAAAATGAATTACGTTATCCGTTGTGTAATGTAAATCTCACTTTTACGGTCTTTCCTTCTCCCTTCTTGTTTTCATTCCACGTTTTACGTTCTCTATTCGTTCTTTTTCATTTATAATATATACATCTATTGTGTAGTATACGTACTTACATAACTAAACACGTAACTTATCTTATCGGAAGGATAGAAAATTACGGAAGAAAATTATACTGCGTAATATTATCGATTATTTTTTTTTTTTTCATTTATCCATCGACATAAATTTATTATAATATTCTCATTGTTTTTCTAGAAACGTAAATTGTATTGTAGCAGTGTTTTCAACATGTTATTTATTTTACAAATCATCTCACTACCATCGTTTTTTTATTATCATCAATTTCTTTATACGATCTCGTTTCCTGCGTAAAGATTTTCAATGTTACGCGCGTATAAAATTATAAAAACAATATATTGTCGATCAAATTTGTATTTTATCGATTCGTCGAATTGTAATTGTATATTTTTGTTTGGTTGAGCTCGCATCATTGTGTCATCGTAAAATTGAAATTTTATTTTCAAAGTTGGCTAAACTTTAAGGATTAAATTGAAATGTTTTGTGTCATTTATAAAGTTTAAAAGAAAAATTTTCAATCAATTCAATGGAATTTCGATGAAAACGTTAAATAATATAACATTGCGTACCGATTTGTTTTTTTTTTATATTAACGCATCATGTGGAACAGTTTTATTTATTTTTCATAGATATTCTCATTCCTACAAAAATTTATGGAATCAATTTAATGGTATTTTTATTTATTTTGTTTTTTTTTATTTTATTCCAAATAAAAAAAGATTCTCAATCAATTGGACTTAATTTCATCAAATCGTCAAACGACATTGCATACTTTTTTTTTCGTGATAGTAACGTGTCGCGTAAAATAAATAAAAGTAATTTATTTTTAGTGTGATGGAGAAAAATTTTATAAAATCAGTTTGATTGTTATTTTATTTACTTTGGGTCGATCGTGTTTTTATGGTACTAAAAGTAATATTCTTTTCTATTATTTATGATTTATATTAAATATTATCGATATTTTTATTTCTCTCTTTTCCAGAACGGTGTAAATATAATATTTCAATGAAAATCTTTTTCTTTTCTCTTTCCATTCTCCTATCTTCTGCTATCCCTTTCCCGTTTTTTTTTTTTCATCTGACCTTTCTTTTATTCCGGAAATGTACTATTTTTTCCTATATTTTCTCAATAAAACTCGACTCGAGAGATAAAATGCAATTTTCCATTTAACTGCTGGAATTTAATTACGTTTGCATTTCGACAACTGTATTTATATCCTAGTATACATATATTTTTCATTTACATATGGGGATATACATAATCTTTGTACACGCGTGTACATTATTTTTACACGGTGAATTTTTTATTATTTTATATTTGCTGTTTGTGTATATGCGAGCGCGTATGTGTTATGTTAGGTATATCATATTTCAGCGATATTTAAATAATTGTCGCATATTGAATGCATATATATATATATATTAAAATTAACACGTATAAAGTTTTTATTTATTACGATAAATTATTATAATTAATCGCGAAATGTGAAAAATATTAGGATGTGGATTATAATTTTAGTTTATTCTTCTTATCGTAAAGGAAAATACAATTGGTTTATTTATACGCGTGAATATTTTTTTTTCGACAAGTTAATTCGTTTTCCCGTTTAACAAGATAATAATAACTTTTATTTAATTTAACAGTACACTCTCTCACAAATATTTGTTTTGGTATTATTTTGACCAAGTACCTATCTATATTTCGTTGAGTAAATTAAAATGACAATAATTGTAAGCACATAATATAATTTGTATTTATAAATACGCTAAAAATAACCTTTTCTTACATTACACCGTTCCTCTATATCTATTTTTATTATTATATATTTATACTAAAAATTCGCTAATTAATAATTCCTATAATATATATTATATATATTTCGCGATAATTATTAATTAATAATTAATCATTATTTTTGAATGAAATGTTTAGTAAGTATTTATAATTGAAATAAAAAATGTTGAAAAATATCTAAGACATGAACATCAATCGACATCGATGATATGAATTAAATGGGGGATAAAAAGAAAACCATAAATAAATCGATTAGGTATATAACTGTGTCTCTCTTTTCTCTATTACTTTCTCGTAAGAATAAAATATGAAAAAAAAAAAAAAAAGAAAATTATTGTCCTGGCATTGTCGGGATAAAATTTATACGATTTGATAGAAACCGAGGAAAATATTGAAGGAAGAAATTCGTTTTGAATACCGATTCTCCTTGAATTTTTGTTTGAGGATAATGGCAACCATCTCCGGTTTTCGAATAGAAAAATCTATGAAGTCGTAACAGTAGAAAATGTTTGACGATGAGATGGATGAAAGAGGAGAAAGAGGAACAGAAGGAAGAGGAGGAAGAGGAGGAGGAGGTAGGATGAAGTTAAGGGAGGTAGGCTTCGATCGAAGATGCCAACAATGTCGAGAGAAACATAGGTTATGTTCTCTCCCGTTGTGTAACATTTGTCTTCCCTTCTGACAAGGCAGCAAATTGCTTTTGAGACCGTCAAATTAATGCCTTGGAGTATCTTAGTGTAACGAACCTTCTATCTTAGAAAGACACTTTTTACTC